CAAACACACACACACACACACACACACACACACACACACACACACACACACACACACACACACACACACACACACACACACACACACACACACACACGGCAGGAATATGCAAATGTTAGAAAATCTTTAAAAGTAATGTAAAGCTCACCTCTGCTGCTTGGTTATTATTTTAGATAATGCAAATGCACCAAACAAAAACAAATTACTGACAATTAGATGAAAAAATGTACGTCTTCAAAGTTTCAGGCTTGAAATACTACTTCCTGCTCTAACAGATACATAAACATTTGACTGTCTAAATATCAGTGGGGTGCCTTTCAGGTCGCCTCCTCTGCATCACAATTTCTTGACTTAATCCATAAAAATGTATAATGATACGAAAATGTAACACAGTGTGGCTGTTTGAATTGCTGAATGTTATTTAGAGTAAACAGGATGATTTGAAAAGGCTTAAGGTGAGCCGTGAGCCAAAAATACGTGAGATACCAGTGTCTCTATTACCCTACCGTAAATGCACCCTGAAACATCCCCTATTCTAACATAAGTGCACACAATATGAAATAAGATCCTTTACCACATTAACTGGTTTATGGCTTTGAATTTTTAACAATACTATTATGTGACATACATTAAAATACCTTATCAGATTTCCTCACTGACAGGTTCAAATTGCACACTTGGATAGTTTGCAGCCTGAAAACAAAAGTGCTTTAATGTGATGTGATATTTGGAATTGTATTTTATTAAATTGGCTTATTATAATTAGAACCTTTAGAAATGTAAATCCCAGAGCCGTCAATTAATGTGGTACTCTTGACTAGATTAATGCCATATTTGTAGGACAAAGAAACTGTGTGAGAGTTCAACAGTCATGTTAACAATCCATTGTGTTTCCCCAATTATACAATTATATTTTTTGGGACTGACATTAATCAAATCGTTTCGGACACTTTTTTTTTTTTTTAAATATATATATATATATATATATATATATATAGGCACAGAGCGATCACACTTACAGTAACAGTGGGGGTCGCCGGGTGTGAGGGAGGTGACTGCCAGACTGACTGTCTTTGTGTGACATTTAAAAAAACGAATGTATGACAATATAACTGCAAATATATCTTGATCATGCATTGATGCGGCCTCGTCACAACACATTTTCTCTAGCACATGTTATCAATGGGATCACCTGCAGTGTCTGAGGAATGACTTAAGAGATGTGGAAGTTTAAAAAAATCAAAGCTCGCTTTAAAACGTGATTTGTGCTGATATGGTTCTCGCAAAAATTGCTCGAAATTCTTAAAAATAACATCTGCTCCTTCTCCCTCATTGCACCAGACAACTGATCTTACTGACATTTTCTAAAGAAATATTAAAAGTGAATACATGTATTTTAAGGTGTATAAAAAAGGAAATTAAAGTTTTAATAATATTTAGAAAATTATATATTTGCCAGTAAACTGAAGATGAAGCAAATTAGCCACAATTGTAATATTGTTGGTGAAAACACTGCATATTTGCATGCTTTTCTGCTTTAAAATGATCTGATTTAATACTTAAAGATAGGGGAAGCATTTCTTTTGGAAGAGCCTTCACCATACATAGTGCTGGTAGATCACGTGCCGTAGAGCAGTCTGTGCACTCGCAGCCTGACACGGCAAGGGACTGAAGGTACACCAGTCAGCACTGCAAACGGAGGCTGGATTTTATATTTAAACACATGAATCTTTCACAAGGCCCGGCAGACCCAGGAGAGGTTTTGTTTGGCTGGTGAGTTCATCCCACCCACCCAAACAGCCACCCATGAACCCGACCACTTCCCTGCCTCCATGTGTCTGCTTCCATTTCATCCCCAGGCCCACTCGAGCGTGACTGAGTGTTTCTCCGAATCACAAGGGAAACGTTACACGCACGTCCCCAGAGCCGCTCTTTACTACTGGTGGGAGTCACTTGTAAATCATGCATTTTATCGAATAACAGATGATGGAGCTCATCCCTCACATATGACACACCTCAACCCTAAAAAGACCTGATTCACTTTTTACTCAAGAGGATATTTCTAGCCCTTTCATTGGCAATTTTATCTTAACAGTTTAAATGGGCAATAAACTCTCAGCATGTTAATTTTTGAGCCACAGTGTTTTCCTATTTATGTCCCACTTCATCGCCCATCCTTCCACTTGTCAATTCTTAGCATATTGATCTTTCTTTATTGATCAGTGGTTTTGTGGGTTCAGCATTTATGTCCTGCTTCTGCCTCTGTAGTGGCTACATTTTCAACGGCTCCAGACTTCAATTTTATTCGTTCTTTGATCATTTTTTCCTCCAGCAGGACACAGCGAAGAGAATTGCCAGGTCATAACCTCACACAAATCACCCACAGTGGCCCACAGGGGGCAGTACTTACACACCTGCCTGTCTGTTTAAAAGTTTAACACATTAGAATATTACGAAAATCTCGAAATAGAAATAAATGTCCACTTTAGCTCTAAATGAAGTGGTCAGTATCGTGTTGGGTAGCATAATTACAAGGTTACCACTTGATATCCCTTCTATCCCACCTTTCATTTTTTATTTCACGCATTTGATGCACTTTCAAGGGCAATTTCTGACCCTGCTTCTGTGCTGTCTCTACCTACTTTCATCTTTCCCTACCTGTTTCATATTCCTCACCAGTGCCTTGCTTAAAGAGAAACAAGAGCACAGGAAAGAGAGAGAGAGCCACAGAAAGACAGGAGGCCAGACAGTCAGAAACGGATGAAAGATAGATAAAGATAGAAGCTGGCCGCGCTTCAGAAATAAAAAAGCCTCCTGCCTGCTCTCTGTGCTTCACTCACCAGATTTCTCTGCCTGCCTTTCCAGAACCCCTAATCTTTCCTGTTAACAACCTGCCAATAGGGCCACTGTCCTCATGAATAAACATATGGAGAGTGAAGCATGGCCCCGCAAACATGACAGGCAGCGTTACGGTAGAACAGCGAGAGCACGCCTGTAATGCTTCCCCGGGGCATGCCTCTGAGTCAGCCCATCACTTAGCGCTCTTTTCCACTTCTTAAAATGTCGCCGCCTTCAATCGGCAGGCTTATGATCTTTTAATAATGACGGCAGGTAGCAAATGGCTTGAGTGCTGACAGCTGGTTAAGTGACTCTGCTGTGGGGATGGGTGGGCTGCTTCAGAAGGAATCAAAGCTGTGGTTCGGCTATAGGGTTAGACAAACAGCCAACACTGGGCTTGTATTGAGATTTCCTCCTCTATTATGATAGAATTCCGTAGCATGGAGTTTCAGGGAGGGCCACATCAGTGCTGGCTATCAAAAACCCATGTTGAACCCTGCTGAGGTTCCTTTAAATGGAAGTGGCTGCAGCCTCTCCTCACATCCAGCGTCCAATGGAGTCAGACAGGTCAGGCCTCCGAAGGCGTCCTCCACTTGCCTGCACCAGCTGAATCTGCCACAATCCTCTATTTCTTCCTCTGTCCCTTCTAACTCCTTCCACCCCACCCGGCCCCCCCCTCCCCTGAGCTGCTGAAGCTGCCACATGAACTCTGTGTGTGCGATAGCTACACTTTTGACAGGGTGACTCGCAGAAAGCCGCCCCGAGTGGAGTTGAACACCCTCGGGCGTGGGTTACTCCAGCTTCACACATGCAGCGGTGCACGGGGCACCCAACGAGCCTCCGCCTGACCTGCCTCCATCCCCTCCGTCTCTCACCCTGCCTCCCCTCGCCACCGAGCATTCCTCTCCGTGCGACACAGGAACACCTTATGCATTATTAAAGACACTTTTCCTAAAAGGCTGCTGGCACATTATTCTGCAACCACAGTGACATGTCTGGATACTCAAAACGTCCACTTGAGCTCTAAAGAATGCGCTCGCCCAGGTAGCTCTCTGCTGAAATATACAGCACGACAGCTGCTAACAGCCACACAAGAGATGACTCATTATTACCTGTCATTCTTTCATGGGTTGAGTGAAATATTATGAGTACAATCACAATTTCTAACTCCATAAAAATCACTAAGGTTACTAATTAAAGGTTTTAAAACTACACTTAAAAGGTGTTATCTTATCCATTCAGTACAGCATGTGCCTCAGCCCTTAAGCCATTATGTTATTGTGATAATAATGATGAGCATGTCCTTAAAAAAAAATATATATTTTAAAGGTATTATCCAATACAAGGCGAAGGTAAAATCATGTGGGTCTTTCAGAAAATAACTTTTATGTAAAAGTCAAAGTTAAGAGGACACAGCCACAGATTTGTGAGAAATAATATATGCTGTAACACCAAAGGGCTAACATTAATCTCAAAGAAGAATAATAATTAAGCAAATGTGTATTAAATAAGAAGCTAGTGCATGCGCGAAGAGTGAAGCAACATGGAAAGCTTGTGGCCAAACTAATCTCACTGTAACAGGTAGCTCATAAAATGACGTATAGGTCAACTGGCTGCAGCATGACACAGATGTAATTATGCTGATAGATAGGCAACGATTTGGTAATAAGTTCCACAAGGGGGCGCCTCAAAAAATGACCTGAAGAGTAAGTTTTGGATGCATTCAAGGTCGCCTCATGTGTAAATATGAATGGATATTCCTTTGTGGTTCAGAGAAAAGTTATTCATGATGTTTTGAGGGAAAAGTCCTACAAGTATCAGCACACTGTTTGTCTATGTGTTACAGATGATAAATGCAGCCACGTAACACACGACTGGAGAACGCTCCAACACACAAAAAGTAAACTTTACGAGCAAAAAGAAGAACTTACATTTCTTGTACAGGGTACTCCCTGTTCCCCTGCTCTCTCTTTAACGCCGTTCAACAAGTTCAGAGAAGAAGAATGAAGAAGGATGAAGAAAGAAGCTCTTTAAGACGCGCTCCTTAACGGCAATGTGATGAGTACGCACGTCTGTCTCAGAGGAATCGCTGTGCGCACCATCTCTCACTCTTGTTTGGAGAAAACGATCAAGAGGAGGATTTTCCTGCCACTTCAAAACAAATGACTGATCACCGTCCTGAGGGCTCGGTCAGCAGCACCGCGCCTGGTGTAAGCGGGGGGATTTCTGAGACGGAGCTCCGGTGCCAAAGTGTCCATCATCCTCTCTCCAAGTGTCATTCCATCACGGCGTCAATCTGAGGCGCAGTGATGTCCGCAGAAAAGGAAAAAAACCCACTTCGCAAAATAAACTTTGACCAAGTCGTGTGCGTCCCTCCTGTTTATAATTCCTTCCTTTCCAACTGCGTGCGGATCACTGCGCGGATCTCATCCCCACTCTCTCTATCCTACTCCCGCGCTATGAATAGGTTTAAGCCACCCAACAGGGACAGGAATCACACCAATTACACTCGGCGTCTGAGAATATCCGCTCTTCTGGACGTTTCCCTTCAGCACCGCCCGCCCAAACGGAGATGGCGGGGAAGATAATGCGCTCCGAGGCTCTATTAGATGAGACGCACAGTCAGCTTGTTTCCCCCCCACGCACACCTATGGTTTCTCTCCCCACCCCTCTAACCCGTCTCCACCTCGCCTTCAAACCCCCCCACCACCCTCACACACGCGCGCAGCATCCTCTTTCGGGACCCGTTATAACTCAGGAGGGAGGAGGATCGCCTGCAGTTGAACCTCTTTTAGTGGAGTTCACCCGGGTCGACCATCGCGTTAAATTATCCAACAAATGCGCGCATCAACGGTCTCAAAGGAAATATTGCATCCGGGTAAAATAGAAAGAGGAATATCTCTGACTCCCAGCTGGCAATTATTACTGGGCAAGCAACCAAAGGCGTGTGCAATTTTAAGATATTAAATGCTTTTGTGTTAGTATCTCCTACTGCTTAATTCAGATTATTAGTAATTGTTATTTTAAAAAGATAATTAAGATGTTTTTGTAACAACTCCGAATGGTGCGTAATTGATCAAATAAAGGGATTTAACTATTTTATGTAAATAAATAAAAAGGGCGTACCCATGGGTTTATGTAGTTTTATTATCATGGCCTCATACATTAAGTTGTTTAATCTCCTATTACTTGTAAGTGTAGGAAGTCGTCTGATTTTAATGTATATGACAAAGGTGTCACTCCAGCACCACGGTGTCATTTTAAACAGAATATCATTCAACTGATCAATGAGAAATGGGCAAGAGCCTACATAGGGGAACATAATTGATTGTAATTTTACATAAACACTCACTGCTGTTTTCAGAGGGAAAATAGGCGACATGGCTTAACTCATTCCTGCTTCACCCTTCAATAACATTGCTAACGAGAACAATTTAATCAATCCTGAGAGTGCACCGTCTTCTCACACCTTAATGTATTCACACAAAGAGTAAGAGGAGGTAGAGAAGGAGATTTTTCAGTAACTTTACCTTAGTCAGTGCGAACACACGTCTATTGAGGGGGTACTAAGGAACAGTACACATCTATTTGTGCCTCTGTCGCAGAACAGTAGTTAACTAAAAAGAGACGAGTGCGACCCTATAGTAGAATAATGAGTAGAAAAAATTCCGGTTAGAAATAGAACAATGTACTTGTGAAAATGCGTGCAAAAAAGGCTCCAAGCCAAGAGAAAGACTACTGTGATAACCCTACGATGTTCGCGGGGTAACGTCCAACCCCACTATATACGCCCCACTACTCCCGAAGACACCCCGGATATCCGACAGACGTCCCTGTCTTCCGTTAGGTGTGTAACTCGACATACCGAACTAGGTGGATGACTCTCCAATTGGACACGCGGTTCGACAGTTCTGGACTTTTGTGGGGGGGGGGGGGGGGTGGGGGGAGNTCTGTATCAGATCCGTTGCAGCCCCATTTTTAGAGATTTGGGTATGGAGGAAAAGAGAGAGGGTTGTTTTTTCTGACACTTGGTGAGTTCCCTGACACACCGGGGGACACATATTCATGTATAAAAGACGTACAAAAGTGCATTTTTAATGATAGGTCCCCTTTAATGTATATAAAGTTGATAATCTAAGGGGGTGGGGTGTTATTTTCCATCAGCTATCGTATTGGCAACAACAATCAGAAACAGAGGTCGAAGTTGTGATCCATGAAAAGTAGGTAACGGTGACCATATCAAAAGAAGTGAAGATAAGTTACCGAGTTTTTGACTGTTTCTAGGTTTAAAATAAGATATGACCACGGTGGCTGACAGTCTTGGCCCGGAAAAACCATAAGCGCTGACGGAAGACGGGACAAGGGGGAATATAAATTTGCTAACTGCCGACAAGCCTTCGAGAAAGATGGGCTCTCACCAATCAAACAAAACTCGTTTGTGTGACAGATGTCTTGGACTTGTAACCCAGATAGCAAAGCTCTATCTGCCTTTCCCCTCCTTTTATCTTCTTTCTCTCCATTTCTCGCACTTGTACATTACATTTTAAAAGTGATAAGGGGGCCTAAGATCGAATACTTTTAAACTGTCTTCTGGTGTCGCCAAATATTACCAGACTCAGAAATGTATTCATGTATATCATCCTTCTTTGTCAATGAACTCAGTATGGATGCTGCTGCCCAAAACATTTAGGAACGGCCCTCTCTGCTGCTAATATTGTTCCTTCTGATTCAAGATAGCTCCAGAAATTAAATATTATGTTTTGTTTATTCATATGCAATTTGGACCCACACAATGCAGGCAAACAACGGATCCATCCAACCGACAACACCCACATGAAATCCTGCTTTGCTGTTATTGTAGCATTGGAGAGACAAAGACAGATGGAGAGTGATTGGGGGAGTTTATCTCTAAACACATATCAATACCAGAGCCCAGGAACTCCTAATGAGAACAACAAATTGCTTCCTCGCCACATGCTCCAGCCTTTGCTTGTTGGGGAAGGAACATGCTCTGCGCGACAGTTTTATTGGAAATAAATTCAAATCATTTCCAAATCCCACTCCCACTCTTATCCTTTGTCTCTTAAAACGGCTGACCTAACAATATTGAGTTTTATGTTAGGCTTGTGTTTACTAGTGCCATAGAGGTTAAACATTAAGCTTTAAGGTCATAGGCTGCATTTGGATCTCCATTAACCAATAAAATGTGTTAATTATTAAAACCATTAAACATTTGAACAAACCTCTGATGTTGAACAAAATAAAAACCTATATAAAAATGTCCCTCAATTGGTAACTTTGCTTTTTTCAGAAAACTAAGTGACATCACAGAGACATCGTCAATCTTTCTATGAGTGGATAAATCCCAGCAGGCATTGTACAAGATGCACACTCGACCCTGGAAAGCTCAGCTAACTTCTTGAAAGGCTACCAATAATATACCATCGTCAAAATTGATAAGTATAACTTCATCAATATTTCTTCTTCTTACAGGACAGTAAGACGAAGAAGAAGATATACTTTATTAATCCTCAACAGGGAAATTACTTTAAATTACTTAAATCCTGCTATATAGTTAAGTTTTCAATAAATACACACATTTTGTCATTTCTATATTTTGCGAGATACTTTTACAACTTTGTATCACGAGTGTAAAAATGTCATTGCATCAGCAGTATAGATTTCCTCCCACCTTTTCCCCAGACTTGCATAATCCCTACCTTACATCTATCCATTTCTACCTCTCTTTCCTCAGCAAGGCGTGCGTGTTTGTGTGTGTGTGTGTGTGTGTGTGTGTGTGTGTGTGTGTGTGTGTGTGTGTGTGTGTATGTGTGTGTGTGTGTGTGTGTGTGTGTGTGAGGCGCGGTGTGTAGGGGTTAAAGCTATCCCTGCTGCATTAATGAGACCTTGTGTTCCACAATAGATTTCTNGCTTTCACAGTTCTGGACTTGTGAGGGGGGGGGGGAAGAGATGGAGGAGAATGAGAAAACACACTTATGTAATTCACACTCTTCTGCCACGTGAGAGTCTAACTAATTAACCAAAGAGCAACCTCTCAGTAGGTGGACAAGCATACAGCTCAATGTGTGGATGCCTTCTGTCTGCAGACAGCCTATAGGCCCACAGAAGCCCTCATCACCCCCGCATATATCACCCCAACCTGCATGGGGCTTGTAGCATCCAATAGTGTCATCAGAAAGAGAACCGAACCTCGGAAAACGTGCGTAAAAGTGTTCATGTAACAAGATAAAGATTGGCTTTAAAAGATGAGTAATAAAAGATGATAATCCAGCGTGAGAGAGAAAAATCAATTGGATGACAAGAGCGCTGTCTCCGTGTTATCTACACATGACAAGGAATCATGGGGGATATTATCTGCACACAGCGTGACTGATTCATTTCAAATGACTTTTTACTGTATGTGGAAACGCAGTGCCTATACCACCTCTCATGTGTCATTTAAACCCTCATATAAAGCACACGCAGGTGAGTTATGCAGGAAATTGCAAGAAGACAGCTCAGTCAATTCAACCAGATATATCATTTACAAAGTCTGGGCACTACAACACTGGCTACACTTTCGAACCAAACGTGTTTATTTTGCTGATTTGTGGGCTGCATTCCCACGCATAGAAAAATAAAGAGTAGTGCATAAAAAGCAGACAAAAGATAAAACAGAAAACGTATGCATCTGTTCCCAAATTAGTCGGGATACAAATCCCACACGAGGCACAAATTGGCCACCCACTCCGTGTGCGTCGCAGCGAAGCTCTAAAAGTTTACGCGCTCCGGTTTGATTGGGGATGGATGAAATGAAAAGAAGAAGGGCTGAGACTCTCACCTTGGTCTTCAGTGCTTCATAGCGTGGAGGACAGCCACTCGTGTCGCAGCCAAATAAATCCGCTTTGAAACGGGACATCTTAGCGCGGCGAGGGAATGGGAGGCTCGTCGTAAGAGCGACCAGCTTGTCTCCGCCGCTCGCGGGGAATGGAGGAGAGCTCCCGGTACCGGCGCAACGTCACCTAGAGCCGGACACTCCAGGAGAAAAAAATCCTCCACGCCAGGTGTAACCGATAAGAAAAAGTTGGTAAAAAGAAAGCAGGTGATATAAAAAAGATTCCAAGTGGCTCATTAGAGAGAGGAGTGACCGGACTCACTGCTCTCTGACACAATGAGGCGCTCAGCCTTTGACAACTGACTTTCACCTCAAGTTTCCTTCTTTGCTGAAGCCTGTGAGCCGCAACTGAGAGCAACCACGAACGGAAACATCTCTCGCTGCTGCAGTAAAGCTTTTTTGTGATAAATCATTCAGTGATATTTTACCACTGAAACACATTTTCCTATGACAAGTCACGGAGATCACATTCAAATCTGCTCATCAGCTGGAGCAAAGGTGGCAGGCATTTCTATTGGATTTCTGTATTGCATGAATGGAGTTTTTTTTTTTGCACACCACAAGAAAATGTTGTATGAACTGTTTGCATTTCACTTTTTTATTTATAGAATTTTTTTCCCCCATTTCAGAGCAGTGCCAGTTGAGGGTGGCAGCATCTGAGCCAGGTGGAA